ATCCCCAAAAATCCACATTTCTGTGGAATGCTCCCAGATCCCAGGATTGCTCCAAGACTTTTTATCACCCCCAGGTGATGCTGAGGAGCCAAAAATACCCTCTGTGGTTTTTTGGGGGGAGAAATCTTACCTGATCTTTTGGATGTAAAATTTCAGAGCCTTCAATCCCTGGCTCAATCACAGCACCAGGAAAAGAAGGAGAATATTTGGAAATATTCCCTCTGCACCAGGGAATATTCATGGAAAACATTCCCAGTGGAGAAATCTCTAAGTTGGAAGTTGATAATTTGGACAGTTTTGTTTTACTTCCCATTTCTTCTTGCCAGTTAAACAACAGAAATAAACAGTGAGGGTTGTTGGCAACCCACCCTAAAAACGGAACAGCTTTGGGAAAAGCACTCCACAGCTGGGATTGCCCAGGACAAGGATTAATTCCAGCTCCCCAGCCCCATGGCTGCAGCCTGGTGGCTTTTGTGACACCAACACCTTGGAGAGGTCATTTCTACACCTACAGAAGAATCTCCTGGCAAAAGGATTTTCCTGCTGAATTCCACCCCACAAACAAATTCCCCATTGTTTATGAGAAATGGATTGTTCTGGGAAAAAGTCCCTCCACCAGGAGAAGAGCCAGGGAGAAAAGCTTCAAAGTTGTCACAAAATGCCTTTTAAGGTTTGGGGTTTTTTTTTTCCGCCCCCCCCCCATCAAAATTTTGACATCATCCGTGAGATAATCACAAAAACGGGTGAAAAATCCCAGAAAACATCCAAGATCAAAATCAAAGCTCCCACCAAATGAACGGAGTGAATTCCTGTTAATTCCCTAACGCCCGGGACATTCACGGATTGTTTTCTGGCAGGGCGGGAGGGAAGGGGAGCTCACAGATGGGTGAGAATTCCTTCAGGACATTCCCTGAGTCAGGACATTGCCTCGCACAGGGGCAAATCCCTGGAATTCCCACGGAAATCCGCGCGGGCTCATCCCCGGCTCGGCTCAGCCTGGGATTAACCCGTTCACCCTCATCCCCCTGGAAGCCGGAGCTGGAACGCGCATCCCCAGCGCCCAAACGCGGCCGTGACCCGGCCAGACCCGCTCGGCCTCCCGGGAGCCGCGGGAAACCGGAGCCGCCGCGGCTGCCCCGGGCCCGTCCGGCTCGTGGGGTTTAGGAGCTGTCAACGTGTCAGAGCTCCAGTTATCCCGACAGCTGCGGGCCCCGCCGGGCTCCGGGCCCGCCGGGAGGGGCGGACACAGCCCGCGGCTTCCCGCAGCCGGCCGGGCACGGAACGGAACGGGAACGGGAACGGGAGCGCCGGGATGGGGACAGCGAGCGGCACTCGGGGGCTCGCCCTCTGCCAGAGAGGGGCAGAGAGAGGGAAAAATAAATCCCCTTGGAATTGCCCAGGGAGTGTCAAAGGGGGATTGCAGCACAGGAATAGGAGTGGGAACGGGAACAGGAATGGGAATGGGAATAGGATATAGGAACAGGAACTGGATGCAGGAATCGGATATAGGAATACGAAGGAATAGGAATAGGAATAGGAATAGGAAGGAATAAGATTAGGAATAGGATGCAGGAACAGAATGCAGGAATAGGATGCAGGAATAGGATAGGAATAGGATTCAGAACAGGAACAGGATGCAGGAAGAAAGCCACCCTGAGCTGTGATCCAGGGGATGAGTGGAACGAGGACCAGATGTGGGGCAGCTGCTCTCCTGTCCCTCTCTGGGGTCACAAACCCCTCCATGCCTCTGCCCCTACCCCACACGTGGAGCTCACGGATGAGGAAGACGGTCAGATATTGGCAAAGCCCTTCATGGAATCATGGAATGAGTCATGGAATGAGTCATGAAATGAATAATGGAATGAATCCTGGGGCGGTTTGGGTTGGAGGGACCTCAAAGCCCCTCCTGTGCCACCCCTGCCATGGCAGGGACACCTTCCACTGTCCCAGGCTGCTCCAAGCCCCGTCCAGCCTGGCCTTGGGCACTGCCAGGGATCCAGGGGCAGCCACAACTTCTCTGGGAATGCTGTGCCAGGGCCTGCCCACCCTCACAGGGAGAAATTTCTTCCAGATATCCCATCTGAGCTGTTCCTCTTTCAGTTTAGAGCCATTCTCCCTTGTCCTGTCCCTCCATGCCTCATAAACAACCCGTGCTCTGAGCTGGCCCTGCTGCCTTTGTGCCATTTTACACCCAAAACTCAACTCTTGGCTTAAAAACTCAGTCAAGACAGCAGAGAGCCCCCGAGGTGGGGGAAGATTCCCTGCTGGATGTGCTCATGTGGGTTTGTCTTTGTGTGGGGCTATTTTTTAAAATTTTTTTTGCATAAGATCTTGGCTGAGTGATGTTTGCAGGTCCCGAGAGGCGGCGGAAGATCAGCCCTGATATCCAGAAAATCAGGTGGTGGGAAGGAGCCGCCCGTGCCAGGCTGCTGGAATGAGAAAGGCAGCAGGAATGTGCCTCAGAGAGCAGCTGCTGCACAGCCCTGGCAGGAGCCTCCTCACCCAGGGCCTGGGAGCAGGGAGGAATTGGGAGATCCCAGCTTGGGACAAGGGAGAAGGGCTTTTTAAATTAAATTAATTAACTAATTGGGGTTGGGGTTTTTTTTGTTTTTGTTTTTGGTTTTTTTTTGGCTTGTCCTTCCCCCCTCCGTTCTCCCAGATCCTTGGGAAAGGTTTGTGCTCTCCATGGCATTTTGGGGCTCTTCCCCTCTTCCTCAGTGTCCCTTGTGCCTCATCCCACAGTGTTCCCTAAACTCTGATCTCCCTCAAAATCCCATTTTTTCCATTATTTACCACAGGAACATCCATTTTCTATCCCATGCTCAGCTTGTGCCCACCTACACAATTAGGGCAAAAACATGAAAAACAAAACGAGAGAATTCACACATTCCAACCCTGGGTGGCTTCATTCCCTTAATGAGCCATTTTCCCAGGCTCCAAACATCCCTGATCCTCCATGGCCACCAAATCCACTCTTCTGAACTCCCTGGGCCAAGATCAAAGCCAGGCCAGCCTAAGTTGGTCTGGATTTCCTTTTCTAGTCTCCACAGCCATCCTCTTGAGGGATGATGGCTCCAGGAAAATCCAGGATTTCCCAGGAGGAAGCTGCAGGGAGGTGACAGCACCTGCTGCAGTGCTGGGAGTGCTGGACAATTCTTTGAGAAAAATTCTTAACCAGGAGTGGGGGACACCCCATTCCCAGGAGGGGAAAACTCCAAAACCCCAAAACATTGGAGGGGAAAACCCCAAAACTCTAAGGCAGATACACCCAGGCAAACCCAGCCTGGTTTCCTTTGGAAAAGCTAATTTTCCTTTGGAAAAGCTAATTTTCCTTTAGAAATGCTCACTTTCCTTTGGAAAAGCTAATTTTCCTTTAGAAATGCTCACTTTCCTTTGGAAAAGCTAATTTTCCTTTGGAAATGCTCATTTTCCTTTAGAAATGCTCCTTTGCCTTTGGAAAAGCCCATTTTCCTTTGGAAAACTCATTCCAGGAGTGTTTCTCCAGCAGGAGAAAGCCCCAGAGAGGCATTTCCCTGCACCCACAGTGCCCGGGATTCCTGCTGGGGGCATGGACTGTGGGGGTCCCGGTTTCACTGCTGTAACCCTCCCAGTCCCCAGTCCCCAGTCCCCAATCTCCAATCCCTCCCTTTTCCCTAGGGATTCCATTATCTCCGGATCTGCCGATCCCGGTCCTGTTTGCACACACCGCTGCCCCAGCCTTTATGGGGGACACATAAGGGGCTCTCTGTGCCGCTCCCACCAGGACCATTAATCGTGTCCATGTCAGAATTCTCGGCTCCAAACCCTCCCTTCCCGCTCCTCCCCTCTCCTGCTCTCCCTCCCCACCGCCTGCCCTTGTTGTGCTCTCTGGAGATCCAAGGGATAAAAAAAAAAAACCCAAAACTTGTCTGAAAATTCACACGCGGAACTTGCAAACGTCGCAAAATCCGATCTGCTCCGTGGGGCCAGGCTGGGAAATGTGGGATAGCTCCAGCCGGGAATAACCCCCCCGGGCAGGCAGAGGGATGGCCTCCAAGAGAAAATGCCAAACTTTGGCTGCCGGTCCCAACGGGGAAGCAAACCCTGCAGCTGGTACTGCTGCAGGGGCCAAATCCAGAGGGCCTCCTTGAATCCGTGGGAATGCCAACAAGTTGGACGGGGCCCGAGAGGCAGAGCTGGGTTTGACCTCGGCTCCCACCTTGGAGCCGCCTCATTGCCAGCTCCTCTCCAAGGGGAGGTGATGCTTTGAGTTTTCCCCATGATCCATAGCTCTGTGGGGCGCCATCCCAGAGTTACATAGCTCCTGGTGGTTTTCCTACATTTCCCCAAGATTTTAGGATAATTATTAACCTCCTAACGCATCCCTAAAATGCTGCTGAGCCGTATTTCCAAGAAGAACATTTTGTTTTCCAACCACAATCTGAGAAGAAAATGGGGCCGAGAAGCCCTTGGGGCTGACATGGGGCGAGCTCCTGGGACAACTGGACACCCCATTGTACCAGTCAGAAATCCTAATTAATCATCCTTATCAAATTGCAGGAATCCCATGACTGGGTGTGTCCATGCCCAGCTGGAAGCTTCCAGTATAGATCTGCTTTAATTTGATTGTTTGAACCCAGTTCTAGCAAAGGTTTTTCTCTGTTAAGATGAAGGAAGTGAAGGAGCAGAGAAGGAGCAGCCACATTCCAGGCAGGGAGAGCGGGGTTAGGCTGGGGTGAGCAGGGTTAGGCCAGGGAGAGCGGGGTTAGGCTGGGCTGCACAGGGTTAGGCCAGGGAGAGTGGGGTTAGGCTGGGATGTGCGGAGTTAGGATGGGGAGCCTGAGGTTAGGCTGGGATGTGTGGGGTTAGGCTGGGATGTGTGGGGTTAGGCTGGGGTGCACAGGGTTAGGCGGGGCTGCACAGGACATGCCAGAATGTGCAGGGTTAAGCCGGGGGTGCACAGGGTTACTCCGGGAAGCGCAGGCTTAGACCGGGCCGCATGCGGTTAGGCCGGGCCTTACCTGCACGCGGGCCTCGGTGAGCTTGGTGCGCTGGGCCAGCTCCTCGCGGGTGTAGATGTCGGGGTAGTGGGTCCTCTCGAAGGCCTTCTCCAGCTCCTCCAGCTGCTCCGCCGTGAACGTGGTGCGGCTGCGGCGCTGCTTCCGCTTCAGCGGCAGGTCCGGCTCCGACTCCACGTCCGAGCCCTCGTCCAGGCGGTTCCCTGCGGAGAGGGAGAAACGGGAGGTCAGGAGAGGGGGCTCAGTCCCACGGGGAAAAATATTGGATCCTGTGAGGCCCATTCCACCCTTTCCACGGGCAGGGACCTTTCACTATCCCAGGTTGCTCCAAGCCCTGTCCAGCCTGGCCTTGGACACTTCCAGGGGTGAGAATCTCCAGTTTCTCTGTCCCATGGACAGAACATCCACTGTTTTTATGCTGTTTATGGCATTTGCTACCATTATTTTTCCCTACATTGCAAAAAAACCTTGGGAAATCAAAACTTTTCAGAGAAAAAGGGGAGCCCATAGTCCCTGATTCAAATTGTTACAGAGAAAAGAACTCCCAGTGTCTGGCTTATTTCAAGGAATTTCCATTTTTCCTTGGAAATTCCTGTAACGGAGTTGCCCATTTTGCCCTGCAAAAGACAGGAACTGAAATGTTGTCAACAGATGATGTGCTGCCCAATTTTCTCCTGTGTTTTATCAAGGGTTGGGCTTGAAGATTTCAGTATTTTAAACTTAGGAAGGAAAAGAGGAACAATTGGGAATTTTTACAGCTGAAAAAACCCTACCAGTTTGGCTTCGCTGGAGGTTGGGCTGCCCACAGGAGACAACTCAGCTCTTCAACTCCCAAATTTCCTATGGAATTCAGATTCCATTCAGTCCTTTCCCAATGTTTAATCAGTCACTTATTCCTCCACCTGGACTTTTCCCTTTCCCTTCTCCCTGCCTTGATCCCAGCACCAGGTGCGGCCTCCTGAGGCTCTGGTGAACCCAGCTGGAATAAATAAACCCAGTTTTGCTCCATGTTTTTGGCTGGAGATCAAGCAGAAGGCCCCACATGGATATCCCCCAGGTTCTCAGCAGCTTTTGGAGGAGCTGGAACTCCAATGTTGTCTCTCCGGGAGCAATCCTGGGCTCCAGAGATGTTCCATGTGGGGTTATGGGTTCCCTGTGGGGTGCAGATGTTGATTTTGGAGGGTCTCAGCCAGGCCACAAAATGTGCCCCCAGTCCAGGGCAGCAGAGAAGGGACAATGTGACACAGGAGACCTCTGAGAGGGGGGAGCTCTGGCCCTGCCACCTCTTCCTTCTTTCCCAAGAAAACAGAGAATTCACTGGACTAATTGATTTTTTCCCTTCCCGAGCCTGGCTGTTGTTTTCCACAGGAGCCACCCAGCCTCACTGAGAGCCAGAACCAAATGGTGCTCACAGCAAAGTCCTTTTTCTTTCAGGCGAACCTTTGCTAATTTAGGATTAAAGCAGGGTTTGCATAAGCTCAGCTTGACCATAAAGTTCCCTGAAGTCTCTAACCATGTTTTCCAGCCTATTTTTTCCCCCTTTTTTGTTCGGCTCCTATATTATCATCACCCAAAAATCTGCTTTTTTTCTTGGCAGCGCTGGGAGCTGCAGCTGTGGCTCTCGACAGCTGCTGGGGGGTTTGAGGGGTGGGAGGCACAGATCCCCCCGGAGCCGCCTCGTTTGTACTGAGATCACCACAAAAAGCCTCTGCATTCCTGACAAAATTCCTTTTATGTCCCGGGGCTTGTGGGACCTCAGAGAAGGTGCTGGATCCAAGGGAGTTCTGCTCCAGGCATTGTTTTTGGAGGAAAACACATCCCTTGGAGTGGTTTTCCCTCCTTCAGGGTCTGACATCCCGTTAAATGCCTTAAACAAGTTCAGCTTTTAGATCCAAACCCTTCTACTTCTGAATTTCTTCCCCCAAAATCAGTGAGAAATTCCCTGACAGCTTCAGAGGGGCAGCAACTGCCCCACATTTTAAAGATCCTAAAGAAAAAATCCTAAAAAATTTCCAAGTTCTCCCACGCGTCACCAGAATTTGTTTCTAAATGAGATTTTTGGGATTTGTCCACTCCCAGGGAAGGTCTGGGGTCTCCAGGAGAAGGAACATCTGTGCTTGAGAACAGCAGGGCTGCACATCTGGGCCCCAGATGATGTGGGGCAGGTAGGAGCCCGCACATCTGGGCCTTGGAGGAGCAAAGGCACATCTGGAAAGCTCCAGCACATTCCCTGAAGCTCCTGCTCCATCATGAATGAGCTTGGCTGCTCCTCCCATCCTGCTCCTGGGCTCCAGAGCTCCCAGGGGCAGGGAAAACCCCTCGGGAAATGATCTCTGCCAAATTCCACCTAGGAAGGGAAACCCCCCCAGCTCCTGTTAAAGGATCCCTGATTTGTCCATGAGGTCTCAGGAGAGGCCAAGGGATTGTCACCCTCTGTCCCCACCGTGGTGCTGATTCCAGGGTGAAAAGGGTGGAGATAACTGATACCAAGAGCAGCATAAGCCTCTCCATTCCCAAGCTTCCCTGGTTCCTGCCAGGCATTATCCCCGTTTTCCAGCCGTGCCAGAACCGGCGGGAGCCACCCCCCCACCCCAGTGACCCCGGGGGCCGGGAAGGGCTGGGAACAGCAGCCACAGCTCCCGGTGCCAAGTGCCCGGCTCCAAGAGCCCGACCTCAAAGCTGGAACCGAGGAAAACTCCCAGGGAATGCCTGGGAGCAGCTGCTCCCAGCCGGAGCAGCTGCTGCTGTCAGGCAGGGATGTGGGGAAGGACAGGGAATGCTTTCCAGCTGGGATGGGCTCCTGGCACATCCAGCACGCCCCACGAGCAGCTCCCTCACCTCCCAGCCCCACAGATCGTTCCCATTCCCAACCAGCTGCAATATCCCAGATCATCCATTCCCATGTTCTCCCCAAAACTCCTGTGCCACTGGTTTTCCAAAGCTATGGAGAATCCCAGGCTGGGGATTCATCCCAAACTCAAACCCTTCATTTTTTCCAACCCATCCCTGTGTGAGCAGTGGCTGCCAGCAGTGGGAGCAGGGGGACGCCCAAATTTTTCACTCAAATTTCCAGGGATTTTTGCCGCAGGAATGACCTGGTGGTGTTTTAGCCTTGCTCAGCCTGCAAAGGGGAAGGTGCACAAATTTCCAGCAGCACCTCCCTAGGTGGGAAGGATGAAGGATGGGAAGTAGCGGGCTGGCCGGCAGCAGCTCCACCGGGAGCTCATCCCGGGAAAGATGGACAGGAAAAGCAGAGCCGGGAGTGAGCAGAGGGGAAAACCTCCCAGCAGGACAAGGCAGGAAACGGGGAAAACCAAAAGGAAAAGGGAAAACTGAAGGAAAAAGGGGAAACCAGGAGAGAAGGGAAAGCCAGAAGAGAAGTATGTGGGTTACAGGACTCACATTCATCCCGCAGTATTTGGGTTTTTTTGGAGCAATCCCATTGTTTTTTCATCTCTATTTCAGAGTAACTGCTCTGCAGCTCAGAATAAAAAGCTCAAAATGCCCAAATCTCTTTGCTTTTGGAAAGAAATTGTAATTTCAGGAATAAAAAGGCAGAGGTTTCATCCTGGGAGTGGCAGCAGGGATGCAGTGGGAAGCTCTTCCCCCTGCTCCAAGGGGGATATTCCAATGTCTGGGCAATTTTTGGGAGCCAAGGGGAGACATGACCCCGTGGAGGGACCTGCTGAGGGTTTGTGTAGGACAGTGCCGAGTCCTGCACCTTCAGGAAGAGCTGGGAAAGGGAATAACCCTCCCTGGAGCAGCCGGAGCAGTGTGGGGAAAGATCACAAAGGGAAACCTGGCCTTGTCCCGGGGCTCATTCCAGCGTGAGGAAATGTGGGAATTACGGCCCCAAAATCCATTCCTGACCAAAGCTGCGGGCTCAGCTTGGGCAGCAACGAGCAAGAGCCCTTTGGAGGGGTTTGGAAGGAGCAGGAGGAGGCTGGAACTGGAGGAGGGGACCAGGAAAAGCCGTCTGCAGTCGGGGCCTGGCCGTGTCCCCGTCCCCATTCCTGTCTTCTCCGCCTCCCTCCTCTCCAGCCGCAGCTTCTGGGCTCCTCTTGGCCGCGGAGTTAAATTAATCAACAGGATTAGGAGGAGCCGGCCCCAGCGAGGCTCTCCAGGCTCAGCCTGAGCCCGGGATGCTCCGCAAGGAGCCGCAGCCGGTGCTGGAGCCGCTGGCAGCGGGATGGCAGCGCCGGCCGTGGGGACGCATTCATTACGGGGATGGGCTGGGGCCGGGGGAGCGGAGCTGCCCGCCAGACCCCGGCCCTGCCCTGCCCTCCCTCTCCCTGCCAGCCCCACCGCCCTAAAAACGAGCTGGGAGAGGTGGGGAGGGAGCGGGATTGGGACTGGGGAGGGAGCGGGACTGGGGACAGAGGGAGTGGGATTGGGGACAAAATGGGATTGGAGACAGAGTGCGGTTAGGGATGGAGTGACATTGGGGATGGTGTGGGATTGGGGATGATGTGGGATTGGGGGTGAAGTGGGATTGGGGATGGTGTGGGATTGGGGATGAAGTGGGAGTGGGGATGAAGTGGGATTGAGGTTGGCTGGGCCGTGGCTGCACCTCTTGTGCTTCACTTGGCTGCAGCAAACTCCCCCTGAAAGTGCTGCAGCCACGGGGTTGCTCCGTAAATCCCGCCCAGAGGTGGCCGACTGGGATTTAATGGGATGAGGGAGGGAGGGAAGGAAGTGGCAGAAGGAAGGAAGTGGCGGAAGGAAGTGGCGGAAGGAAGTGGCGGAAGGAAGGAAGGAAGTGGCGGAAGTGGCGGAAGTGGCGGAAGTGGCGGAAGGAAGGAAGGAAAACCCACTGGAAGGCACTGGCAAGTTCTGAGCAGCCCCAGGTGAGAGCCCCCCAGACGATCCCCTGTTCCAGACCTCTCCATCCAACCCAGCCCAGGTGCACAGGGATCAATGGGATGGAGCAGCCTCCCAGCAGGAAAGGCCAAAGGATTTGGGATAGTTCAACCTGGAGAGGAGGCTGAACTGTCCCAAAGCTCGGGAGTGACCTCATCATGGCCTTCCAGGGCCTGAAGGAGCCACAGGAAATATGGAGACAATTGCCAAGGGATGGAGGGACGCGACACAGGGAATGGCTTCTCACTGCCAGAGAGGGGGTTTAAGTGGGATATTGGGAAGGAATTCCCAGCTGTGAGGGTGGGCAGGCCCTGGCACAGGGTGCCCAGAGAAGCTGTGGCTG